GTTTAGAAGAAGCTTCACCCCACAACTCTAAACCCCGCCCGTTTAATAAACAATTCATATAGAAAATCAGCGGTCCGTTAAAACCGCTATTTTTCTATATGAGTTGTTTATTAAGGTTAAAGTTGAGGGCGGGGTTTAAAGTTGAGGTAAAGTTGTGAGATGTCGACTAAACAAGCAGCGAAGCCACGCTCAGTCGCCAAAGAAAAGAAATGAACTGAGGACAAAAAGTGCCTCCAACTAAACAACTTGGTGCAGAGAACTTAAAGAAAATGTGGAGTCGGTTCCGTACCAAAATGTTTCAGTCTCTATACGCTTGTTTATTCCAAATGTTTACGCATCATATTGAAACAGTAATGAATGGCGATGACTCTCATACTTAGGCTAACGTTTCCCATCACTACTTTTAGTCCTCTGACTTGACTTGACTTTGCAGTCACTTTGCTTCACGAAATCCTTCTCTGGATCATAGTAGGGCTCCTAACCCTATTAGTCCCATACTTCCATGCCCAATTTTTTTCATAAAATTTCCCTCTTTGTAGTTCAATCTTGTTTCTCGGGCCTCGACATATCAAGCAAATTATTGAACCAGTCATAGGCATTTAGAGTGATGTCACGGCACCATATAAGCAACCATTCACCATTTCATGTGAGGATCCCATTCCAGCCGAACAACCCGCTCAATTATGCAAGGAGAATTGCAGAAGTGATTTTCAAAGCTCATTTCACTGGAAAGAGATTTCGCTACAGGTGACCTCTACCTTGCTCCGGTCAATGCCGTGGACCTCCAATCCAAACANTATGGAGGATAAAAAGGGACATTGAGGCTTCAATCTACGTCAGTTTGGAATATGAACTTCGATGAATGGGAAGTTAAAAGCTGGCGCAGAGCAAAGAGAATCCCACAGCTTAGGAGCTGACTCGTGTTTTTCCCGACATACTTTATTTTGGTCGAGACTGCTATCAGCAAACACTTTAGAGAAGGGAATTCCTAAATTAAACTAAGTAAGAAGATTGCAATACTCCGTTCAGTGTAGACCACTTTTATAGGGCATGTTTACATACACGCCGCGGTTCGACGACCTTCGAGAGACTTCTGCAACCCACTTGTTTGTTGTTTTGTCGGCGCCTCGTGCTCTCTCTAACCCATCGCCCCGCCCATCAGCTGACTCTCTGCAGATGCAGCGAGGAGAAGAGGCGGAGCGGGAAGTTCCCGAAGATTCTGGAGGATCCCTTCGAATGGTATATAAGCAGCTCTCTGGATGGCAGTTTCAGCACATTGAGCCTACATACTCAGTGATCGACAATGTCTATCTGCATTCTTCCATTTGCTCCGGAAAAGGCTATCCTGCCTAGCCTCCTGGACGACGTCTTCAGCGAGCTAGACGACGTCTTTAATCAGTTCTACCAAATTGAGCAAATCGCCTCCCCTCCTCCAAGAAGGAGGGAAGGGAAGAAATGTCCCATGGGCCAAGTGTGTAAGGTATGTGAGAAGTTCAAGAAGTGTTTCGTAGTTAATCGTTTATTCAACCTAATGAGTAAAACTCTTGCAGGTCAGCGATGACGGGTCCAAAATGGCGATCTCATTGGATGTCTCAAAATTCAAGCCAGATGAGTTGAAAGTGAACATCGATGGCCGAACCCTGACTGTCGAGGGCAAACAAGAAGTGAAGGAAGGCTCGAGTTATACTGCTAGGTAAGTACCATAACTCCTTAGTTCGAGTTGAAATTTACTTTACAGACATATTCTAAATTACTTCTCTTATAGGTCATTCCTTCGCCAGTGGACTGTTCCAGAAGGTGTCGACGTCGAGCAGATCCGATCCACTCTCAGTGAAAATGGTCATCTGGCTATCGAAGTGCCGAAAGCCAAACCGGCTATCACCTCCAGAAGCATTCCAATCCAGAAAGCGGACGATCAACCAGCAGTGAAGAGCAGTTAATTACAGTATTACTCACATAATTATCACTAATAATTTCTGTGCAGCCAAAATGGAATGAGATCTCCTGTGTTACTGTAGTTGTACATAGTATACGTGTAGTATTCGTAGTGTTGTTAGAAGTGCTTAATAAAACTGTAAACGAAAGGATGTATCACTACACATTCTATACAACTGGGTCTCGTCGTTTGGTCTACTCCTGATAGAGTAGGCTAAGTCTTTTTCAAAATGAGAACCGGTCAAACGAACTTCATAGCAGGGTGCAGTAACCAGAGCTCATTCTGTGCACTTCAAAATTACGGCGAAAAAATTTAAAGAGGTTCCTCTACTCTTCCTTTTCTTCTATACGAAAACAAAAGTCAGTTTACCATGGTTTCTGCAATGATGGGCAAGATCATAGAATTGTCCCCACCGAAATTGAGGGCAGACAAAAGATCAGGGACAAGCGGTAATGGAGAGAGCGCTGACGGTAGGAGTTGGCTTCGACAATACGAGGGACCGACGGCATCGACTATAGAGAACTTTGGACAATCGAATACCGCACAGAAGCAAAAATGAAGTTCAAAGCAAAAGTTTTCTTGGATTTCCCTTTGAGGTTGGATTATATTTCCTCAGAACTTTCAACTTTAATTCCAAATACGTCCTTTTTGTAATTCTTATGTCTACTTCCGGAAAACCTCTATGGAAGGAATACGTCCTTCAATAGGGGGTGGCATATTGCTACTAGATCTTTGATTTACCAGGCCACATGTGTTCTGATGAACTTCAAGCACGATCGTAAAGCTGTGCCATGCACCTTTAGTAGCAACCAGAGGCAACAGCCAACCTTCGTCATTCGCAAACTGTTCGGAACTCTGAGCGCTTCTCATTGCTTGCCTTCGACTTTCTTCGACTTTCAATATCGATCGAAAAATTGACATTCCTCAGTCACTGGCTGAAATCCCAACGCCTTAGAAAGCTTATGCCTAGGATTCCGCATCACCTGTCTCCCTGACTCATCGGACGCCGAACCGGTTGCACCTTCCCTTCCCCGCCATCCAACTAACTATCTGTGCCACAGTATTATCTTATGACATCTACAGTACAACCTTGTGTTCTGTGAGCTGCAGCACAATCTCTTCGCTAATTGGGTGCCGTAGCCGCCACACAATTAGCGAAGACAGCGATGCCACCTGAAAAAGCTGCAAAACCTAGTTGTCGGGGCTGTAGATGTTGCGCGTCACAGAGATCTAAATAGCTCGTCCATATCCCTTTCCGAACAATTTCTGCCACCACATTCTCGTCCAACCCCTGATCTTCCCACTTTTTTGAAACCCTATATTCTTCTGAATACACCGTATCCTGTTTCCTTTGCCACTTTTGTACTAGTCAGGACTTTCGCTTACTAAAATAAAATGATCGTTATTATGCCACAAAATAACCTTCAGATATGCTTTTAAAAATGTAGGGGGAGAAAAAGGCTTCAATCTCCATCATGTTGGGGAATGAACTTCTATCTATGACCTGCATGTCACAGAAAATTACGAACTATCACAGAGTATCACATATCTTAACGGTCCTTGGACATTTAAAAAGAAGGTACGCCTTGTTTATTTCAACGTCTATACATATCCTCTACTTCATTTGAAAATTCCACAAGCTAATAAGTTCCGAGAGAAGATGCTCTAGAATTCCATCAGGTTACATGGGTAAGAAAGTTCTTTCTTGAGCTACGGAACTTCTTCGGTTTTGGCACCGGCACTTCGATGGCCAGGTGACCATTTTCAGTAAGAGTAGATCGGATCTGCTCGACGTCGACATCTTCTTGAACTCTGGATCCAACCTGACTTCTGTTGTCGTTAGACGTTTTCTTGCGAGCAATTATAAACGTTTATTGATAATCAAGCAATGGAAACACTTCAGAACTGATCAAGAAATAGTAAACAATACATTGCACAATAATTATGGTACAATAAATAATATTATATTACATGCCAGCAATGTTAAAATTTGTACAACCAGTAAGCTCGAGATTCATTTCTTCTGAGGAGCGGCCATGATGGGAATCGTTCTCTTCTGCTTGTGACCCTCGATACTCTTCGGCGCCTCCACCGATAAATGGCCCTTGTCATCGAGCTGGGTACGAATAGCTTCTAGCTCGACATTCTCGGGAAGTAGCCATTTGCGAGTGAACGATCTGGAATATTTGGGGTGATCAATAAGTATTGAATGCACACGATGAAGCTAAGAGAACTGATAGCTCTTACCTGTGTATGGCGCTGTTTCCCGTTTTGTGTTCCTGCTTGCCTTCAATGGTCAACTCGCGCCCTTCCAGATGCACATTTAACTCCTCTGGGCGGAACTGGGACACATCCAGCGAGACAGCAAATTTCTTGTCGTCGTCTACCATCTGCAATACAGGTTACTCGTTTGAGGATGCTCACTGCCACAGGCTATGACCTTTTCGGAAAGAAGCCCTTACCTGCTGAGTTTCGTTGGCCACATGAAGCACTGAATGGTCGGCCTCTCTCCAATATGGGAAGATGCTTCGCTCGATCCGATCGAGATCCCTCATTGTATCGTACAGCATACGGTCAGTTAGACGAGCTACTGGCCACAACATAATTATTGAATGTCAGGAACTTCCTGAGAGGATAGTTTTTGAGTGTTTTTGTAGTGGAATGATGCGAATATTAGTAAAGGGTTTACGAAAAGAACTCACAGAGAGCACGCAAGTTATGAAAGCGGAAGTGATGCAAGCGCTACTGGCAACTGCTGTGGGAAGCTCTTTATGTACCCGCAGCAGCAGCCTTCTAGAACCTTATGGAACATTCGTTGTTTGTTGTTTCGCCGGCGTCTCGCTCTCTCTCGCAGCGCCCCGCCCATTTGTTGACACGTCACCGGCGCAGCGAGGCGAAGGGGCGGAGTCAGATGGTTCCCGAAGGTTCTTGAAGAATCTCCTCTGCTGGTATATAAGGAGCTCCCAGGGTAGCTGTTCTAGCACACTAAGCTTATACTACTCAGCAATCGACAATGTCTCTCTGCATTCTTCCATGCGCTATGGAAAGGGATATCTTCCCTCGGCTCCTGGACGATGTCTTCAGCGAGCTAGACGACGCCTTCAACCAGTTCTATCAGATCGAGCGACTCTGTTCTCCTCCTACAAGAAAAAGGTCTTGGAAGAAAAGCCTTATGGGCCAAGTAAGCAAGGTATGTGAGAAGCGCAGGGATTTTCATTCGGTTCACAGGATTTATCAACCTAATAAGTCAATCTAATAAGTGAAATCTTTATAGGTCAGCGATGACGGTTCGAAGTTGGCGATCTCATTGGATGTCTCGAAGTTCAAGCCAGATGAGCTGAAAGTAAATCTCGATGGTCGAACCCTGACTGTTGAAGGCAAACAAGAAGTGAAGGAAGGCTCGAGTTATACATCAAGGTAAGTCTCATAACTCCAAATATCTACTCCTCCTAACGCCTTATTTTACAAACAAATCTTAAATTATTCNTACAGGTCATTCCTTCGCCAGTGGACTGTTCCAGAAGGTGTCGACGTCGAGCAGATTCGATCCACTCTGACTGAAGATGGTCATCTAGCCATCGAAGTGCCGAAACCTAAACCGGCTATCACCTCCAGGAGCATTCCAATTCAGAAAGCAATTGATCGTAGTGGATAGGGGCTAGCTGTAGTATTTTATTAGTGTAGCTATAGTGTTACTTTCCTAATATCATTTATGATTGTCATCTATTCTTGTACAGCCACAGGATGTGATCTCTTCTAATACTGCACTTGTAAATATTTTTTCTTGTAATAAAACGTCAAAGTAAAAGTCTTTAAATCTAACACATTCTAGTCTACAGTGCTAGCAAAAAGTTTGCATCGACCATGAAATCGACTTAGGATTGAAAGCGGGAAGGTAAAGTCTTGACCAGTGCCTATCATACTAGACGCGTAGCCTCTACATCAAGCTTCGTGTTTCTTGGAGGCTCCCAAAAGAAACCTCAGCTTTGATGCATAAAGCAGTGAAGTAGAAAAGGGTGGTTCCGTCTCTTCCTCTAGTCATTCTTTTCTTTACTACTCTTAAGAATTCCTAGTGGGTTGGAACTGCCAAAATAAGAAGATAGGCAGGATCTCGTATAGTAGGGCTAAATAGTGTAAAATAAGGCTAGCTGAAGGGGAAAAGAAGCAAAAGAAGGTCATAAAATGCTTCCAGCTGAAGAATGATTTCTGGAACGCTCGAAAGATCTCTTTCAGAAGTTCGTGGATCTCTCCTTCTTGGGCAGTGTGTTCTGCCTCATCCCACAACATAATATTCGCATTCTTGATTACAATTACGAGGATCCATTTTCCACTGGTAGGTTTCACCTTGAAGAACACGATATACCCGCTTTCTCTCTTGTGAACATCTTTGGTCTTCCAAATGTTGGTGTACCTTGATTGTGCCCCACAAACGCCATCCGCTGGAAGTCAAGCCATCCACATGGAAAAACGTCATCGGAATGACCGTACCTGATAACAGGGATTCTGCAAGGTTAATCAGGAGGAGACTCCCAGGTATCAGCAAGACGTAATTCAGACAAGAGAAGCCATCTTGGATAAAGGATTGTCTCTGAGCCCCATGCCAGCTACAGGAAAACTAGCTAAGGCGATGGGCATGGGGCTTCACGCTCAGATGGCTCGCTGAAGAAGACCAGTGGGTGACTAAAGCCCGTAATACGTGGGTCAAATATGAATGATTATGAAACGGTTTTACTTGGTAATTACTCCATTGCAGTTTGATACAGCGATACTCAAAGCTCTGTCATGTCCATTTGGATTTCGAGCTCAGAGATGTAGCACAATCGAGCTACCTTCACCAATATGGTCCTTAATCGGGTTCTCCGAGGAACTTCAAACTACGAACTGAATTGCATTTTAGAACAACTTAAGCAGTCATATGCTCAGACCCCAAAAATTTTGGATAAAGGATTGTCTCTGAGCCCCATGCCAGCTACAGGAAAACTAGCTAAGGCGATGGGCATGGGGCTTCACGCTCAGATGGCTCGCTGAAGAAGACCAGTGGGTGACTAAAGCCCGTAATACGTGGGTCAAATATGAATGATTATGAAACGGTTTTACTTGGTAATTACTCCATTGCAGTTTGATACAGCGATACTCAAAGCTCTGTCATGTCCATTTGGATTTCGAGCTCAGAGATGTAGCACAATCGAGCTACCTTCACCAATATGGTCCTTAATCGGGTTCTCCGAGGAACTTCAAACTACGAACTGAATTGCATTTTAGAACAACTTAAGCAGTCATATGCTCAGACCCCAAAAATTTTCGCTCTCTCCCATAGCTTCACTTTTAAACTGGAGCTCTGGCCAAGAGGCGGACCAGTACAGTGAAAATACCTACAACTGGATTAGTGAATAGAACTCTTATTTGACACGAATTCGCCTATTTTTAGTGCATTCATTCTGCTTTACGTAAATCTTCTCCGGTCAACGCCTCGGCTCCTTCGAGCTTTATTATCAGCTTTCCATCTTTTTTTTATGGAATCAGGGTCTAGTGGTAAAATGGAGCCTGAGTAAAGTGGTACAATGCTAACAGCTTCCCCATGGAGATGATGATAGGGTATCTGGCTCACTCAGGAACCAAATAGCTTTCTCACTAGCGGAACTGATGTCATGGCTTATTCCCGATTTGCTGTGCCTCACTTCAACAACAATGGGAATTTGAAGCGATATCAGGACGTCATGAAAAGGTTCAAATTTTCATTCTGAGATCAGAATTACATTTCAAGCGAGTACACTACTTGATCGAGCCAATAAAACTGTCAAAAAAAGAGGTTTCATGGTTTCTTTCCTTCTAAAACAAAAGACAGGTAACCTCCTAGACGTCCTAAATCTCCTCTTCAAAAATGTTCAAAGAACGTTTAGAGCGGGAGAAAAACTTGAATATGCGATCTTCTGGACTATAAAGCTCTCGTAATGGTCTGCATTTATAGAAAATTTCGATGTAGGACAGGATAAAACACATTTTCAGTCACCCGTGGACGGGAAGGTGATTTTTGCTCCTTCAGACGGCGATGATTACGTCCTCTACCTAATTCTAAACCACCATCTGTTAATACGTTCAGAGAGAAGCGCTTAAATCGGATTAGATCATATAGGTAAGATATTCTAGACTTCTTCAACCGGGAGATCTTTCCAACACGACTAATTGTACACGTTTATTGATAACCAAGGAATTACATTAGAGCTGATTAAAAAATGGATTGAAGCAACACATTGCACAACAAATATAACGCTATAAATAATATTACATGACAGCATTATTAACATTTGTACAACCAGTGAACTCGCGAGATTCATTTCTTCTGAGGAGCGGCCATGATGGGAATAGTTCTCTTCTGTTTGTGGCCTTCGATGCTTTTCGGAGCCTCCACCGACAAATGGCCCTTGTCATCGAGTTGAGTACGAATAGCTTCCAGATCGACATTTTCGGGGAGTAGCCATTTGCGAGTGAACGATCTGTAATACTTGGGGCAATCAATAAGTATCTTATGCACACCTTACCGCAAAGGGACTAGTATCGCTCACCTATGCATGGCACTGTTCTCCGTCTTGCACTCCTGCTTGCCTTCGATGGTCAACTCACGCCCCTCCAGATGCACATTCAACTCCTCTGGGCGGAACTGGGACACATCCAACGAAACGGCGAATTTCTTGTCGTCGTCTACCATCTGCAATTGAAATTGATCTTTCAAGGGTGCTCATATTACTTGTCTATGACTT